CTCTCTCTCTCTCTCTCTCTCTCTCTCTCTCTCTCTCTCTCTCTCTCTCTCTCTCTCTACGGTCTTCAAAATTTCTCGTTCCAAACAACATCGACAACGAAATATATTAAAATATATTTCGATGTTTTATTTAATTTATTATTATTAATGGAGGAGACTAGGGAAAAATTTAATAGTGTAAATGAGAATCCCCTTCCCCAAGACATGGTCTACTCTTTGCTATGTGTGGTTCCAATTACGGGTGGAAAAAATAATTAAATGAACGATTCGATTCGATCTATTTATAGACAGATAATCCAATAATTCAGATACTTTAATATTTCATGTAAGATTCACACACGATAGTAATATCTTATTATCTTACTCATATATATACATACATATCAAATTTCTATAGTTCTTATATATCTAGAGTACATATGTATGCATAATTTTTGAACTTTTATTATTGATACAAATTTATATTCGAATTTCAATTTTCACATTCCTAATGCATATCAACATTAATGTCCAATTCCAATCTCCCACATGTATCATGATTTGCCCCCCCCCCAAAATTTACAACTACGATTTCCTCATCGATCTACACTAACTATATCGTAAGAATTTCGTTTTATCAAATTTTTTGCTAACAATGAAACTACTCCTGAATATACAACAAGATTTGCGTATAACGATAATTAATTCAAAAAGACAGTTATATATATTATATGTGCAATGCGCACATATATATACATGCTTGCGAAAAAACAAAATACCATGTTTAGGGTAAGTATCGACAGTATTAGATAAAAAGAACAAAATTATATTTCCTCATTTTTAGGCAATTTACTTTATTACCAAAAAAAGGGATAAGGTCATTAAGATCTTTACTCACGATTGAAATATTAGTCATTTTATTTTCCTTTTTTTGGGATAATGTAACGGACAACATCCAAGGGAAACGGCAAGTTGAACGAAAGCAAAGAGTAAACTAGTGGTTGAAAGTTTAAGCTGTTCCTCTCATCATCCAATTGGCAATAATAACGCCTCTTCTTTGTATTCTTAGTTTTAATTTTTCCTTTCAGTACCTTAATTTGTCACAAACTTCCATGCACCTTATAAATTAGTACCTATCCACGGTATACATACACACACACACACATATATGCGTGGGTTTATTTAATTATAATATATATATCACATGTGTTTTTTAATATGTATTTTCGTCGTATATATATGAACGCGATATATATAGTTTATGCAAATAACCCCCAAAAGGAGGCATAATACTATAGTATAAATTTTAACGATATGAAATGCTTTTTTATGTTCATGATTGTGGTAGAACAACATATGTTATAAGTCACAAAGATGATTAAGACCGCACATAAGACCATGTACGATATATAGATAGAGATCTCCTATGTATAGACGCCATTCACTAGTTTTAATTATATATCCGGTCATTTTGTTGATATAAGAATATTGGCTCGTGCGGTTGATTATGTGTGCCTAAATTTACATAGTATCACAGCAAATTATTATATAATTCGAGATTTAAGTTTTTATTTATGGAAATATAATTATCACAAGGAAAGGGCCACAAAAAATGGGAACAAGCGAGTGAGGCCCACATGGGGAGGAAGAAAGGGGACAGAGAGGAAGTGGGGACCACACACCGCCCATGCGGCACGCTGTCTTACCAAAACATAACCCATCCTTCACCTCTGACCTAACCCTAAACCCATTTCCAAACCCTCTATCCTCTCTCTCTCTCAACCCAAGCTTCACCTGAATCTCCTCTCCCTCTCCCATGTATTTTTACTAAATACACCATCTATTGTTCATGTATACATGTTTGTATATTTGTGTATGTATGCATCTGTTCCTACCTTTTCTGTCTCTTCCCCAAAATCCCGACGAATTCTAGTTTTTCTTGAATTGAATTGAGCTGTATATCCTGCATTAGAAAAGGAGAGTAGGGTTCTGTGTTTAATCTAAACAAAGAAGAAGAAAAAGGAATGGATCAAGTCTCACGCTCTCTTCCTCCCCCGTTTCTGTCTCGAGATCTTCATCTGCATCACCCACATCACCAGTTTCAGCAGCAACAACACGCGACTTCAAACCACCAAGACGACCACCGCGTCGGCGGCATAAAACGCGACCGCGACAACCTCAACGTTAACGACAACTCCGCCGCAAAAGAGCAGGTCGCCTCCGACGGCGGAGGAGAGAGCGGTGGCGGCAGCGGAGGGGAGCAGGTCACGAGGAGGCCACGTGGTAGACCAGCGGGATCCAAGAACAAGCCCAAGCCACCCATCATCGTAACGCGGGACAGCGCAAATGCGTTGAGGTCCCACGTCATGGAGATCGCCAACGGTTGCGACGTCATGGAGAGCGTCACCGTCTTCGCACGCCGTCGCCAACGCGGCGTCTGCGTTTTGAGCGGAAACGGCGCCGTTACTAACGTCACCATCCGTCAACCCTCTGGCGGCGCCGTCGTCAACTTGCACGGACGCTTCGAGATTCTCTCCCTCTCTGGCTCATTCCTTCCGCCTCCAGCCCCACCCGCAGCATCAGGGCTAACGATTTACTTAGCCGGTGGTCAAGGTCAAGTAGTCGGGGGGAGCGTGGTGGGACCGCTCATGGCATCGGGTCCGGTGGTTATTATGGCAGCTTCGTTCGGAAACGCGGCGTATGAGCGTTTGCCGCTTGAGGAGGAAGATGAGGAGCATGCGGCGGTTGTGGCGGCGGTTGATGCAAACGCGAATTTGGGTTCTGCGGGGGGCGGGACGCAAACGCAGCAGCAGTTGATGCAAGAACCGTCGTTTATACAAGGATTGAATCCGAGTCTTATTAACTCGGTTCAGTTACCATCTGAATCATACTGGGGAACGCCTCGACCATCTTTCTGATCATCAAAAGACTGGTTTCTATAATCTCGGCCATGAAGGTTATTTCATTTTCTGCTACATTACATTTTCTTATTCCTCTTCTTCTTCTCCAAAGATTTCGTTAGGTCTTGTTTATGTTAAATTAGATTACGTATGTGGATGAATCTTTGAAAGATTCGTCCGCCAAGAAGCGTACGAATCGGACAGCGACGTTTTCGGGTTCTAAGTAAGGAGGGTTTGTGTTTGCCGTTTGACTGAATGATTATAAACTGTTGATTTCGAATGCAGTTTTCGTGTGTTGGTTATGATTACTGGCGTGTTGCAGATCGAAGAACCTCATATATATATTCAGATACACACACACACACATACACACAATACGGCTAATAGTAGTGTAAGATATAGTTTGCTCAGATGCTTACAATGGTCGACACACACATACATCTATATATTTTATTGTACGTAGTTTGATTACACTAGCTTATTGTTGTTGAGCGCTTTTATATATATACACACACGTTGGAGTTTATAAGAAAATATATTTACGGGTAAGAAGATGGTGAAATAAGTTAGGCATCATGATAGGGACAAGGCTTATTGGGAAGAAGGTGATTGGATAGGCAGGCATTCATTTTAGACATTATATATATATATATATATATATAAGTGACTCATTATACAGAAATGTATATATGATTTGAATTGGAATAAGTATAAATGTGGAGATTCGGTGTGCTTAGAACTTGTGAAACACTATAGGTTAAATGAGGAGTGGGTGTTGGGAGACACGTGCGTCTGCGTGCGTGCCGAAGAAAAGTACCTTCACGAGGCCATGAAACAGTGACTTAATTCCAAAGTCTCCTGCCACTACCCCATCCTCCCTCTCTTTCCATTTATTTCTCACCGCTCATTTTCTTGTTTTCCACTCACTACATATATATATATATATATATATATATATATATAAACTATTGCATTTGAAAATTTATATATTTTTTCGAATTATTGTACACAAGATTTATATACGTGGATAAAACCGATATAGACTATTTTATAAATGATAATATGTGCGTATATAATGCGCGTGTGTCTGTACTCCCATTAGCCGGTATGCTTCCATTTAGATAGCATATGATTAAGATGTTTTCATTACACTTACACGTACACACCATGACTTTAATATTCAATTTGGTTCAGCTATGATGTTTACCCAAAGTATTAATCATAACGCATCACTATATTATTCCATGGATATCATTAACATATGTTTGAAATGAGTTGTTGGATTGGTGGACCGCATGCATAAACACACAGACACACACACACGATATATATGTTTTTATGTATCATCATCATTTTATATTATAACATGCTTTTGATGTTCATAAATAAGTCGTCATTATAATCTTGAACTTACGATTCAGCGTTTAATAAAGCACATGTTGCAGCAGGTCACGGTCGAATCATGCATGGCTTTTCCTCTTATCCTTTTTAATAGTCTTTACTCTTTAACTTTTTGTAATGTTCACATTCTGATATTTATTGACATCAAACACCCGCCCGCACACACATAATATATATATATATATATATGTATATATGGAGAGAGAGAGAATTTTGAATGCAATATTCTCTCGTGTATTCATTTCGTGTTAGCACGTAACTAAAAAAAATGAGGAATCGATAACCAAGTAAAATAAATTAAATTAAAATTATACTTTTGTGTAAACATCATTCTTACAAAATGGAAACGTAAGTAGTAAAAGAAAATGGAAAAGAAAGTGAAACAACATGATAAAAAAAAACAATAAAAATCGAGGAAAAATGAGACACACACACATTTGTATATCGTTCTTTAGTTTTATTTTTAATATCAAATGTATCCTCTAATTGTATTCTTATGGAAATCAAATAGTGGGCCCCGCATAGATATCGGGCTTTACGCACATAACAAAACAAACATTGGGCTTATCATCTAACTTGTTTGGGCCTAATGGATTCTTTATTGTCTGTTTGGGCTTATCAGAGCCTTTTTTTTTCTGTTTAGGCTGCAACACCTAACCTAGTTATTTCAGTAATATATATAATCTTATAATTGAATATTTTACGTTAATTATTTTCTAATTTGAGTATGTTTACGTGTCTGCGACTGTGCTTACGTGTGCAAGTCAAGGACCGAACTACGTGCTTCCAAATTTACAATCGACCTTTTTTTATTGTTGGCACCAACTAATTCATTGTTTAAGTAACGCAAACAGATTGAGAAATGATTTTGGTTTAAGGATTACGGAGATACGGTCCCAAAAGGAAATACTATGACTGAAAAGGATCTACGTGGCTAATCCATATATTCCACGTGGCAGTATCTCGGGGATGAGAGGGGAAAAAAAACCCTAAGGCGGCTTCTGTAATCGTCTATTTCAGCTTCTCCGACCTCCATCGTGTTGTCTACCCGCCGCTTCGCCTTCCGACAAACCCAAAGACTTTGTCGGAAACTGACGTCAGCATGCTCGAGAACCACCGTCTGAACTCCGTCTTCGTACTGCGATCAATCATCCGTACAACCACCGCCGTTACCATTATCGCCGGTATTCACGTAATTGACGCTATTATCGCCTAGCCAACTAACTGATCCCGTCTCTCACTCTCTCGATACGCGTCGGTGTTTGAAGAGTTGCCGTCGATTTGATCTGGTTCGGTTCCAGAATCGGGTTCTTTGTGTTGGTAGATGGCGGCTTTAAAGGGCTATGGTTTGTGCTACATGGACTCTGCTCTCCAGCTTCCCTGTCCTCGTCGATTCGATGGCTACAAGAGGTTCTTTTACGTCTTCTTATATCAATGTCTGGATTGTTATTTTTGGGTTTGTCTCCCCGTTTTCATTTGTGTCCGGAAATGGAAGAAACAAAGTAATAGTTCTCTAGATGCAACTCAAACACTTTATCTTTTGAGGAACACAATTGATAATTCTCTAAGTGCAGTCTAAATGCTATGTTTTGGATAGCTGGCTGGAATCTAAGGTGGTTCTTACATGAACTAGTGATTGGATTATGGCTCCATATCTCTTAATTTTTCGATCAGCCAGCTTTTTAGAAAGGGCAGTTCTGTATTTGAGTTCGAAGTTTTGAGGTCTGAAGGAAAGGTGTCTAAACTCAGGTTAAAAAAAATTGTGTGGCGCCAGCACGAATGCCTTTGCTCCTCTAGCTAATGGATGCACTCAAGTGAAATCTAGAACATCCTGTAGTTTAGAGTTGTTAGATTATAGAACAGTTGGCGTTTCTAAGCTTAGACACCATAACCTGGCACTGTCTTGTTCTGTCTGACCCGTGAGACATTTTCTGTTGAATGTTTGTCACCCAGAAGGAACGCAAAATGGGTCTCCCCGAAGGCAGCTGTTATACCAAATTTTCATCTCCCAATGCGCAGTTTTGAGGTTAAAAACAGGTGGGTTGGAGTTGTTGAGCTCGTCTTTCCCTTTAGGTGGTTATGCACTAAGCCTGCCTGAGTGAAAATATGGATTAGCTCTTATAGTAACCGATGCTATCTACGTTCTCTTGCTTATGCTTGCAGGACAAACACAGATGATATAAAGTCTATTCGGTTGATTACAGCCATTAAGACACCTTATCTTCCCGATGGAAGGTTCGACCTCGAAGCATACGATGATTTGGTGAACATGCAGATCGAAAACGGCGCTGAGGGTGTTATAGTCGGTGGTACGACTGGCGAAGGTCAATTGATGAGCTGGGATGAACATATAATGCTCATTGGCCACACTGTCAACTGTTTTGGTGGGAGAATCAAGGTCATTGGGAACACTGGAAGCAACTCAACCCGGGAAGCCATCCATGCCACCGAGCAAGGATTCGCGGTGGGGATGCATGCTGCGTTGCACATAAATCCTTACTATGGCAAAACATCTATAGAAGGCATGATCTCACACTTCAAAACTGTTCTTCACATGGGACCGACGATCATATACAATGTGCCAGGTCGGACTGGGCAGGATATACCCCCGCTTGTGATTTCCAAAGTTTCACAAAATCCCAATTTGGCCGGTGTTAAGGAGTGTGTAGGGCACGATCGGGTTGAAGAGTACACGGAAAACGGGATAGTTGTGTGGAGCGGAAACGATGATCAGTGCCATGATTCAAGGTGGGAGCATGGAGCAACTGGAGTTATATCAGTTACCAGCAATTTGGTCCCGGGTCTGATGAGGAAGTTAATGTTTGAAGGTAGGAACCCGTCATTGAATAGAAAGCTCTTGCCTTTGATGGAGTGGCTTTTCTATGAACCAAACCCGATTGGCCTCAACACAGCTTTGGCTCAGCTAGGAGCTGCACGGCCGGTCTTCAGGTTACCGTACGTGCCATTGCCTCTGCATAAAAGGCTCGAGTTTGTGAAACTGGTGGAGGATATTGGCCGAGAGCATTTTGTTGGAGACAGAGACGTTCAGGTTCTTGACGACGACGATTTCATCCTAATCGGCCGTTACTAGTGTTTCTTCTTTGCCTGTTTTTTGTTCTCTCTTTGGTCTGAAATAAGGAGATGAATCTGCTATACACTCTGTTTGTTTGTGGGTTTCGCTTCTGAAGAAATCTTTCTGATCACTTTTTGTTCTTCTGGACCTTTTGTCTGGTCTGATAGTCTGCAAGAAATAGTTCTGTTGTTGTTGGAGTTTGCTGTGATCCTTATATATATGTCCTTTTTTTTAATTATATAGTTTAATTTTTTTTACGTGTGGGATTTATGTTCATTCCATGGCAAAGCACTGACAGAATAAAAAAAAAGGAAGAAATTTCCCTAAAACTAACCCTTTATAGTTTATAGCAAAAAATGTTGACTACAAAACAAATTAGGGTGGATATGTCAGTTCGGTTTTTCGAAATCGAATCGAACCGAAAAATACGATATTTTTTTTTTCTGATCTGAACCATTCTAAATTTTCGAACGGTATTATTTTTAGAAAACTGATTTTTTTAAAACCGAACCGAATATAATATAAAAACCGATTGATATCTATTTTTATAAAACGGAAAAAAACCGAACCGATGCATTCTTATCCCGAGTTCGAACCGATTCTGGAAAGGCCTACTGCAAATAATTAAAAGAGAATTGTCAGAAATTTGACAACTTTTTTTTTGGTGACATCATCCGAAATACATTCTATATGAATGGAATGGCACGCACATTTTAATGATAGTTATGTATTCGGGACACATAGGGTAGGAATTCAAATGTATTTGCCGAAGAATAGTAAGAAACGGCATGCATGTTTGGTTATATTATTTAAAACGTCATGATGGCTTTGGAGGGTCGTTGTCGGAAACAGACAACGGGAGAGAAAGAGAGACAAAACTAAGCCATCTCGGAACGGTCCGCTCGTGAATATGATCAAAATTTCGTTGGAATATATAATATTTGATTTATCACCAGAAATTAAATAGTTGCCGTATTTTCTGGTTCATGGGGCACCCACATGAGATGTTCGTGCCAGCTGTTCCTTGATTGGGATATGAATCTGTAACTATAATTTTACATTGCCGGAAAGTATAGTAGTTAAAAAGTATGCCCGATCCGTTTTTTCAATTATAGCGGAAAACCCTAGAGTTTGTGATCGATCTACAAGAAACTCTGCAATAAAATTCATCCATATATATATATATATATATATATATATATATATATATATATTACCTGTATACTCAATATCTATTAAAACTATTGCATGTAAAGACATTTTGATAAAAGCCCCCTGAAAAACCAAAACTCCATTGATTTCCTGAGCCTATATCTTATTAATCAACGAATTAAAATTAAAGGGTAAAAAAAGGAAAGAAGAAGAGAGAAGGCAAGAACGGACACAAATGAGACATGAAATGGATTTCTAAGAGAGGAGAGAAGGAAGATCCTCTAACTCTAAGGAGAGGTGGAAACATGGGAGAGTTTGGTCTGAAGGAGGGAAAAGAGAGCTTGGTTTTCTTGGTGAAGAAGGAGAGCCTTTTCCATAAGTCTCTCGTTTTCACGTATGATGTTCTGATTCTCCATGTAAAGCCTCCGGTTTTCGATCTCAATCTCTCTCCCCCTACTCTTGTTCTTCCGCCAAACCCTTCTCCTCCTGCGCCATCAAAGAGCATACGTAACATTTGAGTGTATACATATATATACATGTACGCTTTGAGTGCGTGTGAATACGTAACATTTATGTGGAGGTAATTGATAAGATGAATAGAACCTGCAGAGCCTGGGAATGCGAGGGTGGTTGCGTGTTTTGATTGTTCGTTTGTGGTACGAAACTGAGTTCACGAGGGTTTCCGGGAGTGGTTCTGAAGGGATCCGACACATGATAGTATATATTTTTTTTCTGTTTGTTACGTTGAGGAACTCAAAGTGAGTTTCAGTTAGTGTAATAAATCAGGGCAGAGGGTGACGAGGGAAAACAGGAAGAAGAGAAGGGTGGAGAGGGAGGAAGAGATTTAGAGGTGTTATATAGATGGAGCTCTCGTGTTTGTGTCTGCAATTCTCATTGAGAGAGAGAGAGGCTTTTGAAGGTAATGATGGCAAACGGAGACTCATGATTACAAAGGAGGGAGGAGAAGATGAAGGAAAGGAAAAAGAACAAAACTCTCTCTCTCTCTCTCTCTCTCTCTCTCTCTCTCTCTCTCTCTCTCTCTATCCAACTGGTTAATTACTGAACCAATTCAGAAGAGATCCATCTAGATTTCCAAAAAGTAATCTTGTGAGTAACTTTGGTACTTTCCCAAAAAGGCTCAAGAATCCATTACTTGGTGTTCGATAAAGAAAGGGGAGATTAAGGATGCGTTTATGAATTTAACCGGCGAAAAGGTCAAATTAATCACAATGATTACTTGCGGCCTAATAAGTCAAAACAAGGGATTGCTCTCTCTCTCCGTGTGTTGTTCGGTTAGGGTTTGTCAGATCCTCCACCTTCCCCCCTAACTTTCCTTTTTTCAAACCTTTAAAAGAAAAAAACCAATTCCAAGTCTGTCTTTTTAATCTGACTCCAGATCTTTTGTTTGAGAAATGTCTTCGATGATCCCAACCTTGGCCTTTTTCAACTGGAAAAGCATGCGTATGACTTGAGAGCTTCCAATCTCAATTCCTCCACCCTTATGTCACCAGACATCACTGATCAAAAAGTTTAAAATCACTCCGTTAAATAAATATTATCTTGTCAACATCTATTGTCCTGTGTCTTGTTCTAATCGTTTCCACGCCCAACAGTTTCTACATGTTGGATATGTAATCTTAACTAATAACACCCTCACGTAAGTCCAATGCTATACATGCTTTTTACCAAAACTAACTGATTGGGTTTATGAAAAGGATATATATAAACTCAACCACGGCTCGATCCAAGTCTCACTTCCATTTTCCAAAGGATAAGAGCAAATGCTCGGGAAAAATAAGAAATGGTAGGCCGAAGTAGTGGATGATGGCACGTGGAGAGAGTGTGTGAAATCAGAATAGAATCATAAAACTGGTGAAAAAGGGGTGACGATCGAGTGTGCAGTGACTTTTCTCTTTGGAAAAAAAAAAAAGAAAATTTCAAGGAGTGCAATTGAGTACCAAAAGCCAATCCTCATAGATATGGAAAAATGAAACACCAATTTGGAATCTTCTTCTTCTTCTTCTAAAAAAACAATCATCATATCTCTTCTCTCGTCTCTCTCCCTACACTATCATCATCCACTGGAGATGGAATCAATCGTTCGTCATCATGAGTTTAGAAAATGTGGGCTTGTTTTGTTCAAAACCCACCTCCTCCTCCCCCCGCCCTCTGCCCCATCTTTAAGCCACTTCACTTCACATTTTCCCCCTACTATTTACTTCTTTTTTCTTTAAAATAAATAAATAAATAAATATAATACCTTCTTCTTAAGTCACTCTTAACCTATTTATTATCAAATAGACCAAGCAAGAGAGACACCCAAAAAAAAAAAAAAAAGACTAGGTCCATGGCCTCAGCTTGAAAATAAAAGATCTAAACATTCAATAGAATATTAAACTCTCCACTCCCCGGACAAGGAATCCACCATAAATCCCCTATCATGTGATGGTGTTGAGGGAAAAAAATGAAGATCATGTTTTGTTTTTAAAACAAGGGAATTGATGAGGTGAAGGACTACTACACTAGGACCACTAAGAGCTCTACTAAATTTCTCCCGAATGATACAACCAGACTACAACTACAAGGGGGAGGAGATAGTCAACCCCGAAATGAAACCCGTGCCTCAACAAAAAGTATTCAAAAACGTTATAATTTTATACCTATGTCTACTATAGCCCACCCCCTTCAACCATGACACCGAAAAATTACCATGAATATTATTGAGGGGGAGCAAAAAAAACTTACCAGTTGGAAGTTACTTCCTTGAGTTCTTACAGCTTCAATGATGGATTTTGTTTCACGCTCCTCTTGCCATCAAAACCCAAAGTGGTCGAAATCACAATCATCAGCCTTCACTAATTCAAAATTACCCATCGATGAATCCTCTGACTCTTGCTGTCGATTGCCTACCCCCCTTTCTTCCCTCCTATCATGACAACGTGTACAAAATTCAATTACGGCAAGCCTTTGTCCTGAAGCAGATGCAAACTCTTAATCATTTTTCCCTCTTTGAAACCAAAAATTAATTAGACTCTGCTTGTTCTTCTTCCCATGTTCATCATTCTGAATCTGAGAATCTGCCTTGAGCCCTTCTTTGGATCTCCTAGTACGTACCCCCTTGTATACGTCCTGAGTCAGATTAACACACTGACTCCTAATGTAAAAGAAAATAAAGGTTACTTACTAGCAAGGAACGGGTGTATATGCCACTGTTCTTGAATGACAGAAGTCTCACCTGCAAATCTAAATATTGAATAGAAACGGGCAGGGAGAAAACACAAAACTAAATTAGACTTACAAAAAGGATGTTCACAAATATGTTACCCAGCAAAGAGGACTATCAAAGAGTACGTCGATAAGTAGCTTTATCATCTCCATCCATCTGTCTACCTATTTCAGATCTTTATCACTCCCCTGTCTCAGCATCAGAGGAGGGTAATATCTCGTTCTTATCTGTATCAGAATGATCATTTGTGGCCAAGTCTGAAACAAAACCGTGTTTTTCCTTCCCTCAACCATCATCCGAATAAGAACGACTCTTGCTATCGGAGTCTGAACCAGAATTACATTTTCACTTCCCTTTCTTTGATCTTTTTCAGTGTTGGAGAACTGATCATTCAGTTCAGGAGCAACAACCCTATCACTTCACTCAGAGCTCAACGATCGTTATCCTTCCTTCTGACAACAATAACCTTGAAGAAGAAGGTTTACTTTGACTTTGAGCAACCTGACCTGCAAAATCATGTATTATAGGCACTTCATTTACCCTTTGACTCTTTGAGTATCACTTTCCCCATCCTTTCTACGTCTTTGGGCTTTATTCACACCGTGTACAGAAGGAGCTGCGCTACAAGCCCAGCTTCCAGCAACTTCAGAAGCTAGAAGATCGGCTGTTCTTATAGCACCTACCTTTCAGTGTCTTCTATATCCCCATTGGTCATATGAGGGACTCCTCGATGGTAACCGAGGATCAGGTTGATCATGATGACCACTTTCATTTCATGTGCCTGAGTTTCATAATCCATCTACAGTGTATCACTAGAAGATGTTTAACTTGCTCAAATTAAAATTTCTCTCATAATTGTCTCCTGTACTTGAGTTTCATCAACTTGCTCAGTTCCCACAAGGTCTCTATCCAAAATGGGAGCTGTACCAACACCCTCAATATCTGAGCCAAAGGCACCCTTGGCAATGCGTTCAGACTTAGGAATTCTGGTTCTTGGGTATTTTGGCCTTCTTGGATCATGATGTCACACTCACAGTCATGCTTCTCAGTAGCACCTGCGCCTTCAGAAGAAGTATCAACAGATCCATTTCCCAGTTAAACCTCCACCCTGAAATGGAGGATCTTGCCTTTCTGGCAACGTTGGTGTGCCAACCCTCTTTCATTGTCCTCAATACCAGCTCTGATTATTGGATTACGATCCATATCAACAGAAGTGTTACTATAAATTTTATTTTCTTCCAAAGTTCTCTGCATGGCCTTGAGCTGTTCCCGTTGCTTCACAAAAAAAACTATGTCCTCGGCCATAAAAATAAAACATCCACCCCTGAGTTTCACTGCATGAACATTTCATGTTAACACTAATTTGAACGTATCAAACTTGTATGACAATGTATCTGGAATCCTGGATAGTTTTAAGGCAACATAATCAACAGGAAACAACAGCCAAAAATGGCAATCTTGACTGCAAGAGGATTGTTTAGCAGATAAATTGAATGCGAGAAAACACCATGCTGGTGTTAAGAGCTTAACAAGCATCCTAAGTCATCAAATATTCCATGTCAATTGACAAAGGCTTTACGTGGTCATTCCATCCATCTATCTAATATCAGCTATTTATACATCCAACACAAGATAGAATAAACAGAAGACAGGAAAAATCCATGATTTCAGTGATAATGGCATCTGTTTTTCTTGTTCTGTTAATACGTTTCGTCATGGCAATAAATCCAAGTACTTTCCGATACACTTACACATATGCAAATGCGACGTCTACAACAATGAAGACATAAGCTTTAACACTGCAATTGATCTGCAATAGTGGACACAGATGGAAAAGCCGATAGTACAAGACATAAACTTTTGAACTGTTTATTTAGTCTTGAAAGCCATTTACGAAAGGTGATATACTTATTTCACAGTGCTGAGGTAAAAATCCTATATGTCCATGGTCTGGATGAGTAGCCAACGATACTATGTCACAGGGCTGGATCTTTACTCCAGAGCTGTACTTTCTCAACTGTTCCCAGATGAGATAAGTGGTGAATTAGAGAAATAGGCAAAGCACAGACAAACCCTAAGTCTTATGTTTCCTTGAAGACGTTACCGTGAATTAAACAACTAAACCAGGAGAAAGGTCCACTAATCTGGTGTCTTTCAGAAAGTCAGATATCTGACAGCTCGATGAATCAGCGGCGCACAAGCCAACAGTAAATTTATGCCCTAAAATTTCAAGATCAGACATCGAATCAAACTCTGGAATATAATCGATTTACGGGGACTAGTCTTCAGAAACCGGAATTAAACTCCGGATATCACATATTCAACCAAAACTGAAAATTGGGGATTGAGAAACGGGGCAAACCTTGACGGCTTTTGCGAGCATTGCTGGAAATCGCGGAGAGGACTCCCCCTCGTTTTCACGTATGATGTTCTGATTCTCCATGTAAAGCCTCCGGTTTTCGATCTCAATCTCTCTCCCCCTACTCTTGTTCTTCCGCCAAACCCTTCTCCTCCTGCGCCATCAAAGAGCATACGTAACATTTGAGTGTATACATATATATACATGTACGCTTTGAGTGCGTGTGAATACGTAACATTTATGTGGAGGTAATTGATAAGATGAATAGAACCTGCAGAGCCTGGGAATGCGAGGGTGGTTGCGTGTTTTGATTGTTCGTTTGTGGTACGAAACTGAGTTCACGAGGGTTTCCGGGAGTGGTTCTGAAGGGATCCGACACATGATAGTATATATTTTTTTTCTGTTTGTTACGTTGAGGAACTCAAAGTGAGTTTCAGTTAGTGTAATAAATCAGGGCAGAGGGTGACGAGGGAAAACAGGAAGAAGAGAAGGGTGGAGAGGGAGGAAGAGATTTAGAGGTGTTATATAGATGGAGCTCTCGTGTTTGTGTCTGCAATTCTCATTGAGAGAGAGAGAGGCTTTTGAAGGTAATGATGGCAAACGGAGACTCATGATTACAAAGGAGGGAGGAGAAGATGAAGGAAAGGAAAAAGAACAAAACTCTCTCTCTCTCTCTCTCTCTCTCTCTCTCTCTCTCTCTCTCTCTCTCTATCACTCCTCATTC